ACGCACTCTCCTGCTCATTTGCATTCTTAAAAAAACACTGTTCCCTATTTTCTGTGCAGCCACTAACCGAAGAGGAGAAGAAAATGTTGTTAGAGCCCCTGATAACCTATCTTGTTCGGTGGAGGAACAGGCTACGCGCATCTACGCCTTCAAGTAGCGTCAACTCATCGAACGTGGACTCAGTGGCCAAGCCCGACAACGGCCAACTCTTTCTGCATCAGTTCTTCGGTTCACGTTTAGTTTCACGTCTCAGCCTCCTCCAATTGGTCGATACTTGTCTACTAAAATGTTATCTGGTGACCAATATTGCCCGCGTTGGTCCACTTCTGCGTCAGGAAAACTATTGCCACCTCGAAGAAGCCGAACGTGTCCTCACCCTCAACCAGCGCTACACGGTAATTAATCCAATTAGGCTGAATTTACCTCCATGCTCCTTTTCTTTTTTACTGAGGCGATTCTATCTATTGAATTAGACTTAAGTAGTCGGTCTATTTAACTTTAAAAATATTCGGCATTAGCGGCATTATCACAAAGAGTAACTAAATCTTTTAGAGTAGGTTATTGAAAATCGATACATTAATACGGCTAGGCACAGGTTTCGTGAATTAGACTCATATAATCTACTTCTCACATGGTTTGCAGTCTAGACTACGATATACATGTTTCGACAGGTCATGTAAGCGTATAGGATGTAAGTCGTAAAATATGCTTGAATGAACAAAAAGTCGGGAATATTTAAAGTCACATGATCATGACATTGCGGTTGCAAGGCCGCGTTCGGGTGTTACTTGTAAACCAAAAATGAATATTTTTAGCCTCCCAGTCTTCCACGACTTGTTGCCTAAGTTGTTTACACCGGAGAACAAAGATATGGAATGCTATTCGAGGGCATTTATTTCAAACTTCCTGGTTCTTTTAAATGAGATGTTTTTCATTCAAAATCCAAAACCCCTGGAAAGTTTCTCCCGGACTTTGCGTATACGAGCTGACTTCTTTGAATTACCTCTCTTAGGACCTGGTCACCATGTATCGAACGCGCGGCTTCCACCAACAGGCACTACGGGTCCTCACAAACATTGCTTTGGGCACCGCCGAGACGGAGAAAACGAGGCCGTCTGATGATGTACAGTCACCAGATTTGATTGTTGCCTACCTCAAGGACCTCGATCCTGCCAACTTCGAACTAGTGGCCCAGTTTGGTGACTGGATCATGAATAAGCACCCGAGAGCCTGGATGAGCATATTTGTAGCCTGGGAACGTGAACTTCGAAGGAAGCTGCTCTCGGCCGCTCCAGGTAGGTTCCTT